ACTGTGAATCATGGCCTAACCAAGTTGACACATATTTTGGGGGGACACAATTCAATCCATGACAGACTCCTAATAAATAGAGGCTGTGAAAGGCCACCAGGTCCCTGGGTGGCGAAAACAGTTTGCATTTGACTACTAACCTGAAGACTGGTGGTTTAGACCCACTTGGCAGCACTGCAGAAGAAAGACTTGGTGATCTGCTTCTGTCAAGTTTTACAGCCAAGAAAACCCTATGGAGCAGTTCTACTTTGTACCACATGGGGTTGCCATGAGTTCAATCAAATTGATACAGTAAGTTTGGGTTTTTTTGTTCTGTTTTGTTTTTGTTTTTAGTTTAAAGGGTTAAAGTCTAAATCCCTCAGAATTTTTTTTTTTAAATAGTTGGAACATGCCTTTACCTAATTTTTGTAGGCTAATAACTGACGCAGCATGACTTTGAGCTAAATGATTTACCTCTCTGAGTCTCACTGGTAGTAATAATAAAAGCAGACAGTAATAGTACAGAGAAATAGTCCAGTTTAGGGGAATTTACTTACAACAATGCTTGGCACCTAGTAAATCCCAGTGAAGGTGAGCTGTTTATTATTCTTATTTATCAACAACAACCATTAATTAAATAATCATCTTTCTGGGTTTTCTGCTGTCTCAGAAGGATGAGACAGTGGACAGCAAGGTGTTCTGGCAGTTAATGGGGTTCTAAGAGCAGAACTCACAACTTACCTGGTAAATCTCCAAGGGGCCTCTACTAGGAGCAGCACCCTCTTCTCACCTGGCTCCTGAAAGTAATCCAGAGCCCATGTGGGAATGGCAGACCTAGAGACAGAGTATGTTTTGGGAGTTGGTTACCAGAGCATAGCCCACCTACCCTGTCCTCCTCAGTGACTTCACTCAGCACTCTCAGGCACAGATGAATAGGCTTTAGAGAAACGACACATAGCTAACATGCTGATTAACTATGGCCTGGAGGACCATTCCCATGGACAGTTATTGATACAACACTGTGAAAGCACAGAGCTTGTCTTGGCAAGTGATCCATCATAATAAGCAGCTTTCCAGCAGGGAGCAGGGGAGCAGGGTGATCACCTTGAACAAAGGAAAGAGAATTGTGATTGTTTAAATATAATGCAGGCTACACTCAATGGAAGGCTGCTGCTTAATGGCACTTAAAGTGCTACTGGGTTGTTGCTCTGAATTTTGCATGAGGAAAGAGCTACCTGCTGGGACAATGACCCTCAGTATTAAAAGTTGTCTATGGTTAGGCCTTTATACAGAAAGTAATTCCATTTTATAATCCACTTCCAAACTAAAATGTTCAAATAATGGTTGCAAGGCTGTACTTTTTGGACCCAGTTACTCTGGTTATTGGTGAAGAGATTCAGATTAGAGAAGTTCATTGTCAAGGGTCTAGGCTGTGGCCAAAGCATAGCTGTGGTCAAGGGGGTGGTCGTGACATCATGTTAAATTGCCCAGTCTGAGATCAGAGCATCTGGATTAAAGTTCCAGTGTGTCACTTTTAAATCAATGTGAAAATGTAGGTAATTGTACCAAATAAGATTATTACAAAAATTAAATTAGATTTGCTTTGTAAACTATTTTCTAAAACTACACAAAGAAA